ATATTACACTTGTACCAATTAAATTGAAGGAACTACTTGCAAAAGTAGATCAACTGCACTTATTGAGAAATAGTAATGACACAGAAAATGTGTATACCATCCAGAAACCAGCATGGCTGTTTTACAAACCATTGAGGAGATTCCCTACACAAACTCTTTGTAAGTATAATAATATTATCTCTTATCTAGTCTAGCAACATACCTCTGTAATGATGTATATTGTCTGAAGAAAGGAAAATATTAATTGTGTTGAGGATTTAGCAAGATTAATAAAAGATATAATCGAATTATTCAGATATATATTGGAGGAATTACTATTGCAGTTGTATAACAGAAACTATGACTGAAGTAATTTCTCATATTACTTTTATAGATAACCTGTTCAATGTGGTGTCCATAATAGAAGGTCTGATTAATGAACATACCAGTCTCCAAAACAGAGTTTGATAGTATCAATTTTGGATTATTTCAAGATAACTTTGGAAACTTTGATGTAGAGGAATTTCTCAATAGCCTGTACTAAAAATTAGTTTGTGTTTGTATTACGATTGTCTCTGAGCAAGTTTCTTTATTCCACACACAATTCCTCGAGCTGGTGGCTTGTGTGTTTAAACCCACAACTGCATAACCTGGATTTGAATTAATTAATTTGTAACTTGTGTGAAGTCAAACCCAATAACTACACCTACCGGCCACCTATTACATATGTTTAATGATGAAGGCCTAATGCAATTTTCCCATATACAACTTCTTCCTTAGTAACACCTCATACACCATATCAGTAGAATCTACTTCTATTAATCATTAAATTTCACAATAATATTTCACAGTGCTGTTTTGTATTGTGCCAAATTAAAAATACTTTATAAACTGAAGGAATGTCTTTAATATAATACACAATTCAACTGCTAAATGGGTGAATATGTTAGAAATTTAATGATACATAAAATGAAAAGTTCCATTTTAATTGTTTTAAAATACTGTATGATTGAAGTCTCAAGCATGATGTTAGTTGAAAGTTTGAGAAAGTTAATGTGTTAGATAATGCTTTAAAAGTATAGCTGAGTTGTACATTACTGTGGTAGATGATAATTTAAATATATAGTTAGACTGTAAAGTTAATTTACTGTGTTGGACAATAATTCAAATGTGTAACGAGAACAAGAAGTTAATTTCTTCTGTTGGGCAATGGCTTAGATGTAGTTTGACTGTGAGGTTAACTTGCTATGATGAAGAGTTTAAATTCATAACTGGACTATAAGGTTCATTTACTATGTTGAAGAATATTTTGAATGTACAACTAGACTGTGGTGTTACTTATCTTTGTCAGACAATAAGGTTAACTTTTAATACTGTGTGTGTGTGTGTGTGTGTGGCAATTCTCACACTCTGCCTTCTAAAAATATATGTACCACATGTTTCCCATCTTCTGATATATAAATGTTAAAATCAAAATATCACACTGAAAATTACAGTTGTAGCTAATTAAAGAATTATGGCAACATATGTGCATTGAGTCAATATTATCACCTCCAACCTTTCCTCACAGTCACACCATATTCTCCACCTTGTGTAATAATTTTCTGTGTGTCATTTCTTTAAAAGGTACCAGATGTAATACATAAAGTGACAAAGTCCCTTACATCTCATGAAATCAGGGAAGTGCACGAGACAAACAATCAGCCTTTGTGTTGTCATAACATGGATACCACTAGGAACAGAAAGATAGGGCAATTTAGAGAAACATTGATCAGAACAACAGAGAAAGAAGTCAGAGCTATCAATATAATACTTTGACACCACAACAGAGCAGCACAAGACCAAAATAAACATTTGAAACTGGTGAATGTCTTATGCACGTGAGGGTGTAGGTGGATAAAATCAAGTAAATAGCTTGTGAAATTCGTGTAGTGGAAAATGGTATAAATGTATAGCTAGACTGTACACTTCAATGACTGTTAAAATATGGTTTACTTCTAACAGGGCTGAGAATATCCCTTTCACAACAGGAGCCCCTTTAAATGCTTTTCTGTGCAAATCACTGTGTTACATTCAAAATTTAATCAAACACCTTTAATATCAATGTATGTGAATGAAATTTGTATTATAACGTATGTTATGATTCGAAGTTTTACTTTATACAAGTTTTAAGTACTTTATTTCAAAATAAACCTTTAAAAACTAAAAACTTCAGATATACTGTTATGTAACCAATGAGCTAAGAACATTCTCTACTTTGGCTCTCTGTATCTTCAATAATACAATGGTAGTTGAGTAGAGGTACATCTACACAATAAGTTGCTTACATAACCTTTTGACTCACTCACTTCAAAGCACCCTGAATGAATACAACTGAAACAAGTAATCAATTTTTTACACCCCAGACAGACAGCTGCCACATCCACCTTCAACATATTTGTTTGAGCTTTATAGCCAAGTGTAGATGTGTACATAACATGTGTATAATCATTAGAAAGAGGTCATTTTATGCTATAAACTAACAATGGTGTTTTGAGACTGGCACACAATTGTAATCAAGAGTTATATGAAATTGACCAAAGTATGGTTGGCTGCTGATTGTTTCTTACCTATATACGTTATAGTTAGAGACACAATTTAAATTGTACTTAGGTCTTACTACTATATTTTAGTTAATTATGTATTAGCTGTGTTTTAAAATGCATAATTAAATAGTTTAAACATTTTTTAAATGTATATCATACTTTGCTTCCATTCTCAAGGCTTAGGATATTACACGCTGAACAAAAATTTTGCCAAAGGGTTGCGCACGTCTCCCAAAGAAATTGTAATATGCCTTGAGAGCACCATTGACTGGTGTCGAGATGAATAAGTGGGAAAGGACAAGAAAGAAAAATAAAACAAAAATTAACTATATATGAAAAGGAAAAGAGCTGAAATTACAAATTTAACAAAATGAAAATCTTTAAAGATATTCTACAAAAAATCAAAAGGTATGTATTTTTTTTCTATTTCCTAATTTTAATTATTTTGTTGCATTGTATGTTGATCATAATAGCTAGAGTTAGTGATATGGCAGAGTAAATGAAAACTAACATACAAACATTTACATAAAAAAAACTTTTGATATCCTTTAAGAGGGTTTAAAGATTATGCAAATGAAATATTAAAAACTATATGATAAAGAAAAGCATTTTTATACATAAAATGAAAATCACTTTGCACTTGATTTGTTAATAGGTTGAATGTGAGTAACTACAATAGAAAAATATTTTTAGTAAGAACAATTATACAACCATCATAATTTGTGTACAATATACTTATGATCTTTAACAAAATCTTATCAGTTTTCGAGAGGATACATTAACAAATCTCAGAGTTACTGCGTGTATTGTTAAACATGTGAAATTTGTGACTTGATTTCTGCAAATTCCACGAGCCTGCTACAAAAGGGTTTAAGTGACTGTTGGAAGATAATTGTGTGGTCATTTTTATTGTTTACAAGTTCAATTTAAACATATAGCTTTTCACATTGTGAAAATATTTTCTTGCTTATAATAATCATATTCTGTAGTTTCCTATCTCTCAGTATACTACTGTAAGATACACTTTTTTTACACTACTCCATAAGCCTCCAGAGAACATTCTAGAAGTTTTACAGAACCAAAAATCAAAGAAAAATATTTGCAAATAAAGTTAATAATGAAATATAACCTTTAACCACCACTCAAGAATTATTTTACAACTTCTCCTGTTGTACCTCAATTTAAGTAATCTCTCCAAAATGAATGGTGTCACACTGCTTTTCACTGAATTTTTTGCAGGTATGTATATATTTTATGTATAATACAATGTGATAATCACAAACTGGAGAGAAGCCAGTCAAAAAGTGAAAAGCATTATATTTCAACAATAAATAGTACAACACTGGCTGTATACTCTCATCCCATTCTGCACAACAGTTTTTGACTTTGTTTTCTTTATAAATACATTAACATTATTTTAAATGAAAAAAATTACATTGTGCAATTCATTAAGGTATTACGAAAATCATAAAAAAATTGAACTTTAAGGCAATGTGAAAACAGTGAGTTGGTTCTCAGGCACACTCAAGTAGTTTTGTACTGTACAAATGGAATGTTATTTTTTCCTGCTCAAATATTGTTGTTTAGAATAAATATTGATAAGAGCATTATTTTCTTGGGTGACCTCATAAAACAGTTGATTAGCAGACTGCCATTTTTATAAAGTATGGTCAATGTTTTTATTTTGTATCTTATGTAACCTAATTTTTGATAGAAAAACATCTATATCCTCTGTATGGATATTACTGTAAAATAATTTTGATTTTAAGATTAAAACACCTGTCTTAACAATATGGGCCATACAGGAACTAAAATGACATTACAGTAATAAGATAAACATAGTTCTACTGTAAAAACAAGAAAATAAATGCCACTTACTCTAAAACCATCTCATGTGATTCCTGTCTGAATGAGTAATCTTCTTCAAGTGAGTAAAATAAAAGTTGCTAGTAATCAGAGTACAATCCATCAAATGTATTACCTATATTAGTAAAAACTGTAAATAATCTAAGCTTTTCAAATAACAATGTAATTAAGGTACTAAATGAAACATTAAGTATAATAAGTGTTAACCTTTAAAATTAGTTAAGATACATCACTATACATTTGTAAAAACACAAAACATGTCTACAAATATTCAAGTTAGTAAGCCTATTTTAAAACCGCTAATGTGTCATCCTATAAATAACATTACATGCTAGTAAAAAATACACTTAGATCAAGCATACTGATGATGTGCTTTATCTTTCCAGTTTTTTATCCTGGCATCTCTTCCAAATGTTGAAAAGTGTTTCTGATTAGAAACAAGTAAGCACAATTCCGTGCTCATTACAGGCTAACACATCTTAGTGAGGAGCTTTATTAGTTGCCTACTAGACTGGGTGCCAACAACTTGCATGGAGAAGCTGAAATGCTACCACACTGCGACAGTTTTTATTTCACGACAGATCAACACCTCAAAAGGAGTGAACACCAACTATAGCTGAAGGCCTCACATCACACCATGTTCATCTCTTTATATTAACAGAACACAGACACCTAGAATTAGATATAAAATGCATGGAATAAACTGGATAGTTAAAATAGCCACAAGTTAAAGTTCTTTAAAATATATCTTCTAAAACCCATCACAATTACAAGTGACAATTATTTCTTTACATTTATTTTCTTCACATTTTTATACTGTTATTGTATGATATCATTTGAATATTTTGAACTTTCCACTTTGCTTTAACATTCACAATGGTTTTTCACTGTAATGAGAAACGTTAAGAGATTGAAAGTTATTTAAAGTTCTATTCATTTATATTCTTCATAATCAAACTACCAGTGTTGTCAAAAATGCCCTGAAAATTTTCCAGGTAAAATATGCATCCTGACCTGGCTAAATTTTGCAAAGCAACCACAAGATTTATATAATTAATACCTTCATCACTAATTTGCATTAAAATTCAATTCTACTGACTTGTTTGTGATGTAAATCAACATTAGTATCGATTTTTCCTTCTTTGTGCTACTTTTAACACACACTTATTCGATCAATAACCAGGATATTGATTAATTCATTTATCCCCTTTATTGTTCTTGATTGGGGAAAGGTTTTCAAGTTTGTTTTTTTTAGTCAGGTTATGCAAGTTTTTCTGAGACAGAATTTGAAAAAGAAGTAAAGTGACATTATGGGGTTTTTGGTAGTTTTCTGAAATGTTTGAAGTAAATTATCAAAATACTAATCACTACTTGCAAAGAAACAGAAAATATTTTGTTAAATTTTCATCTTCAATTAAACAAATGTGAAGCTATAAAGATAATTTCTGATTTTGTTTACCTGAATGTTCTATTAAAAATAATAAAATGTGGTAAATGCCTATAAATTAATGAAAATAAGACAATTCCCATAAAAATTATATATCTAGATCTTTCTCTGAATTAAAAAAAATGCATCTTTTTCCATGACTGATTACTCTTATTGTACAATGAATGGACATTCTATAAGAGTAGAAAAATGTGAGTGCATGTACAGACCCCACTCTAATTATTTTGTTTTAAATAAAATATGATACACATTTATTAGACTCTATCCTGCATAAAGCAAGTAAGATTTCTTTATGATAATTGAAACTGGGCTAAGCTTGTTCTTTTAATAAAATTTTCTATCTTGTTCCAACTCTTGGAAGGACCTTGTTCGAGAGGATGGTGTAATGGGTTTATATCCCTAAGGATCACTATGCTCAAATTTTCCATTGATAATGCAAACATACTACATAGTTTTTCAAAATGAACTTGTATGCTCTTTTCTATATTTCTCATACACATGATACAAGAAATTTTGATATAATTTCTTGTATCATATGTATAAGAAATATAGAAAAGAGCCATACAAGTTCATTTTGAAACAAGTTTTTTTAAGTTTAAAGTTACTTCAAAGACAAGATTAGCTGTTCCAGAAAAAGTTAACTGTTCTGAAAATCCTTAAAATTCAGTTTTGGTCAGGGTCAAAGTCCCCTGAACTCTCTGACAAGGGATGCTGCCCTTTGACCTGTGCTGGGGGAGAACTCCCTAGACCCCCCCTCCTACTTTTAAAATCTACCCTTCTACTTTAAATAAAATTACAACATCGAACTAGCTACGTTTTCTACAACTTACTCAACTCAAAACTGCAAATCTTAGTTGTTTTTTTCCCATTTGTAATGCAAGCAAAGGGACTTTAAATCTGGTAGATGGTGTATCCTACTTCAGCAGACACCTCCAAAATCAATATACATTTTAGATTTTCCCACCATGTAACTTGTAGGGGAAAGGATCTGTTCCATAAGTTAATGTGTATGTGTGTGTATTCCCCATTATTTATGTAGGTTAATATGTTTTTTTAGAATAAACTAATAATTTTTTAACTGATTTAATGATTAGTTAATAGAAGACTGTATACATGCAATTACATTAAGAAAATCTGTCAGCTATTATTGAGGCTGATAATTAATTACCCAGTATGGAGGTTATTTTAATAACACACCTGTTGCTACTTTGACTTCTTTTCATTTTAACACTTTCACTACAGGCATCTTTTTCTGAACATTTCATGAAATTTTAGTGAGTTTCATTCAAAATTTAATTAAAATATTTTCTTATCATGGTATATGAATAAATTTGGAAATCAAACATAGCTAATAATCCAAATGTTAATATCAAATAAGTTTTAAGTTTTTAATTTCATCAGGCAATATTAAAAAAAACTGCCGAATTTCCCCTAGTACAAGAATTGGGACATTTTACCTCTAGGTATCCCTTCTTCTCCAATTTATTTACCACCCTCCAAGAAGTACAAAATTTAATGTAAATTACTCACTATAATGTTGTCATTGCTCAGGCAAAGCATAAGTTTTATAGTTTTCAATCTTATTTGGTTATAGAGCCATAAAATAGAAAATCAGATCCCTCTTGCCATGCCCAGCTGTCACATTCTCTCTTTCAGAAACAGACAATACTTTTCTCCGACCTTTAATGCTGTATTAATTATAACCAATAGAAAGCCAAGGTTTTAATCTATCAAATGAAGTATTATACTACATTGTTTTCTGTACAGAGAATTGTCTATTTCACTGTCAGTTCAAACTTTATTCCCACAGGAAACCCATTGACAACTTTAGCTGAATTTTTAGTGGCTCTTGTCTCATAGTTAAAAAAAAAAAAAAGAAGAAAAATTGTGATAGTTAAGGGACATTGTCTGCTTTTAGCATGTTATTATTCTGTGTTCTTTGGTGCAATATTTCATTAAATAAAAAATCATTTAGTGCAGTAATACCATTAATATAAGGAAGTAGGGTTAAGTGACATCAATATTTGACAGCAAAAAAAAGAAGACTCAAGTACTTTATTTTTTTGTTTTTCATGTGTATTCTTTTTTTATAAGAGTAACTCAAATGTAAAAATTAGAAGCTTTTTAGGTTAGATAAGGTAAAATAAATAATAATAATAATAAAATTGTTTCATGAAATATACTCGTGAGCAGCTCGCAAGTAGCCCGTGCGTTATACAGTTCAATAGGGTAATGTAAGCTACATGTTTACCAAGTAATTTACAAGTTACATAAAACTTAAGTATAAACAGATCTATACTGTTATTATTTTAAAGCTATTAAAGATAAACAGATGTAGTTACATGTTACAATCTATAGTCATTCTACTGTCAAATTGACAGAACTCGTATAGAGTTTCGGTAGAGTTAGATTTTAGAAATTACGCACATGAAATTTGAGATGTTTAATCTTAACATCAGAATCACTTCGACTCTAAATATTTTTTTCGTCCACAAATGACTCTTGCTGATTACTGAAAGATACACAAAACATATTAGAAGTTATAGTATAGAAACTATAAAAGTGAATTTGGGATCACAAACTCACCCGATTTGATCGAGCCTAGCAAAAGAGTTAAAGCATATCTTGATTTAAACTAGCGAATCATAATAATTATCTTTTCATGGGGAACAGAAAATAGTACTTTATTGGAGTCACTTTATGTTTATTTTAGTAAGTTAAAAAACATTTAGGACTTTTTTAGTTATGTTATTTTTAATTATCTTTATTCCTGTTCAGTTTGGTAAGCAAAAAAGATACACAAACCAACCTTATCTTTTAATTGCTGACATAACTGGAGGGAAACTGTAAAAAGTACCAACACTTCACTTAGCCAGGGTACTGAGGACTCTGCCTGTATAAAGCATAGAAAATTACATTAATTTTATTTATCAAACATTGAATATTTAAAAATTTTCTATAGCACATAAAATTCTCTCTAATATGATGTTTTAAATTCATAATGATAAAAAACATAACTTCCACAAGGTTTGATTTTACATATAATATTTACTGATGAAGCTTTCAACTCTTCTGTTGGAGGTGTCTTGCAGCTAAAAAAAAGGAGTTGAAAGCTTGCTTTTTGAATATTGAATGAATAGATCAAAACCAGACATTATTTTGACCAGATGTCTCAATATTACAGTTCATTATTATAAATGTATGTTTGAAACCTAAACCTGAGAAAATTGACATGCAAACATAATCATACATAACATCTAGAAAATATTTTGCGAAAATTGGATAATTTTATTTGTAACTATATTACCATATATCTTCTTCAATAATGAGCTTATACCCTTAACAACTTAAAAATATTATATCATTCAAAAACATTAGCAGTCTATTTACCTGATAAACATCAAACTTCATTGAGCCTTGTTGGTCTTTCTGCAGATGGTAAACAGCAAAAACTAGTTTATGAGCCTGAACATAGAAACTAACAGCCAAATCATTAGGCAATGGAGGTTGAAGTGATTTCTAAGAGAAAAAAAAACAACAGAAATGAGTCTTGAATAATTGATGAACTAATCTAAAAAAAAATGTTTAAATTAAAGTACAAAGTCAGGATGTAAAGAGGACTTTATTCCTGTTCAGTTTGGTAAGCAAAAAGGGTACACAAACCAACTTTATCTTTTAATTGCTGACATAACTCAATGTCAACATGGATGTAAAGAGAGAAAAAAAAATTATACAAGGTTTTCATCTGTATTGTAAATGCAAAAACAGGGAAGAAGGAAATATAAATTTCAAGGAATTAAAAAATTTATGTTTCATGCTAAAGTTCTTCAACACATAGTGTCACTGTTTTCAGGTATTATCCATGCAGAGAGATGGCAATGCTTGAAGTTAATCAGTCTACCAAGTCTTTTCTGACACATCACTGGTCACACAAATTTATGCAATACTAAAATATGAACATTAGCACAATACAAGTCAAGGAAAAAAAAATTCAGGGAATCCAGTAGAAGTATGCAAAACCATCACATGAAGAAATAAAAAATCAAAAGCTTTTCATAGCCACATAATTCTTTCACTATGGGCTGGTCAAAGTTCACATCATGACATTTCATTGTGTTACATTCAAAATGTAGTTAAACTTGGCAAGAAAACATATTATTAACTTATATTTTTTATATCATCTGAGTTTTAATATCTTAATTTCAAAAAGAAATATTTTGAAATTCCTTATTTTTTTTTCTGTGTCACATGATGTGTCTGAGCTGCAAATACATCAGAATTTTCAAACTTCAATAACAGGCTTCTACAGTTTCCAACCAATTAGAAACAAGTTATACGTAATTACAATCAAGAACTTAAAATTTGCACCTCCAACTTTCTTGATTTACCAAATCTGCTGGCAGAGAAGCCCCCTCTTATAATTCTGACTTTAAATGTTGATTCCTAATCAACTTTACATGGTTAATAGACATGTTTATAACCAATAAAAAAAGTAGTATCTCCTCAACAGGAAACTAGTTACCAATTGCTAAGTTTAGGCACCTATATTAATCACTTGACTGAAGTTTTTATTTGCATAATCATTATACTGCTTCTCTGAACAGCTAATGGAATTTTTCTATTTATAACTTACTTATAAAACCAGATTTTCTATTCTAGTGACAAGTATATATTGCGTTATAAGATATGTATTCAAAAACTACATTAATTACTTTTTTGGAAACCTATATTTGTGACTCAATGAGGCTCAAGGAAGAAAAATTGTTTCAATGCAAATTTCCTGAAGCATCAGTGAGTAATAAAAACCTTTGTTTTATGTAAATATTTTATATATATTTAAACAAAATTAAATAAAATGTAAAAGTTATTATTTTCTTATACTGAAAATATATTTCAGATATATTTCTCTCACATATATAGCTATTCTCGTTCAGTGCTGCCCTCTATATGCAAAAATGTTTCTACATGCCACAAGTATTGAACTCCCACTTACCTCACAATTAACGTGGTTCATCTGTGTCTTGCATGTAAATCATCATGCAACAACCCTCCACCAATAGGAGTGTGACACACATACCTTCCTGATGTATGTGACTCCTCCTATTTGATTATACCTAACAATCACTTTGAGATTAGGCAGTGGGAAGGAAGGGTGGGAAGTGTGAAAGGAGGTAAGTCCCTATCAGAAATATATTTTCAGTATAGGAAAATAATAACTTCCGATATGGTACATTACCTCTGCTCATATGTGTATCTAGTATCCCACATTGAATAGGCAGAGGGACTGGTGCGAGGGATAAAAACGAAGTATCCTTTTAAAGCATCCAAAGAACACTCCAGAAGTGTAATCTCCATTGGGAGAGGAACACACGTGGAAGACCACACCACTTCTGTACCATGTATACTCTGCACCCAATGTGGAAAGAGGTGTTGCATACACGGGCAGAAAATGAGAGAAGCACAAGCAAAAAAAGGAAGAAAAAACCGGGTGAGTTGGAATCCAAACCACAGAATACTGGAAACTCAGTCTCATAAAAGTAAGACCGCAGAAGAACCATCTACAGAGAGGAATGTGGGAAAAGCTAAAATGGATGTGCTTCAAGGTGTAGAGTGGCTAAGGCATGATGGAAAGTATGTGGCCAGTCAACTCCAGTCCAAAACCAATCAGTATCGGAACAGAACCTTCAACCCATGGTAGAAGGAGGGTCCACACCATCTTCATCTCAAGTTAAGTAGAATGGAAGTAAATACTGTGCAAACTGATCTATAAAGCTGGCACATATGCGCAAATCCATAACCAACCACATATCCAGGAACCCAACATCAGAATGACAATAAGAAGAGATGTGCCAATGTGAAAGGTCACATCAAACTCAAAAAGACTGGCTCTCCACTGTGCAAAATTGGTCTCAGGCAGTGAAAACTACCACAGGTGGATTGCAAGAGGAAGAACCATTGCTCCAATCAACATTATCGTCTGGATAGGAACATTCAGAAGTCGGAGCATGCCACCCTCCGGATTCTACTGCATGGAAGTGTAGTGCCTCTAGATATATATATATATATATCCACAGCCAAGGGAACGGGCTTGGAAAAATCAGGATTTTTCCAAGCCCGTTCCATTGGCTGTGGTTTCGCTAGATAGTAGATAGGGACAGTGAGAATCTCGTTAATATATATATATATAGCAACCACAGCCTCCAGATAGAACTACACAGAAGCTGGGTGCAACATCAACCTCCAGGATTCACTGCAGGAAGGTGGAGATCCTAAGGCAAACTGAATGAGAAAGAAGAAACACAACCAACACATGTGTGAGGATTTATGTTGATTGGTGCTGCTCAAAATCCAAAACCACTCACTGGGAACTGACATCCAGGTGATGGTAGGATGAGGAATACCAACCAAAGGGGTGAACTGCAATGTGATGGATCTACTCCAAAGCAACATCATCCTCTGGATAGGACTGCACAAAGGCTGAAGCACAATTGCAACCTCTGGGTCCCACTGCACAGAAGTGGATTGCATCTATAAAATATTACCAATCTCACCCTCTGGATAGCATTGCACAGAAGCTGAGTGCAACATCAACCTCTGGGATTCACCACACGGAGGTGGAGCATATTTATTTGTAGATATGAGCAACATCAACCCCGGATATAACCTCAGAGAAGTTGGAGAACAATGCTTTCACCCTCCAGGTCCCACCACACTGAAGTAGAGTGCACATACAAAATAGAAGCAACCTCACCCTCTGGATAAAACTGCACAGAAGCTGGTCACAATAACCTCTAGAGTCCACTGCATGGAGGTGGAGCACATGATTGGAGGATTGAATGCCATCTATACCAGCAGAACACCACTGAATGAAAGCAATCACATTCAGGAGGACTATTCCATGGCTCACCACCTCAGTGGCTCGGAACTAGAAAGTGGAAAGTACTCCCATATTCCACTATAAGAATAAAGTGCAGTGGAGAGTTCAGAGGAACACCAACACCAGTGCAATGGGTGACCACAAAAAACCCTATTTTAAAAAGCAGACCACCCCTGATTTATTCAATCAAAGGGATGGCAGGGATGGGTATTTATCCCATTCTGCTTTATCCATGCAAGTCCATGGGTGAGTATGGTCCAAAACAGGCATATTATGTAGCAAGCATATTGCGAGACAACTTACGAGCAACTTATGGAACACCCATCTCAACAGCGTTTATCATAGGCCATGGGTATACAATTTAGCCATACAGTGCACATTTGAGAAATTGCAAGTAAACCTGGACAGGCAATCCTTGCCACTGAGTGGGATCCTAAATGGAAAGAGATATGCCACTGAAATGAAGAACTATATAAATAACTTACCCAGTCACAGCCACACTGAAGTTTGAATGATGGAGATAGGTGGAAAACATTACCCTGACAAGGAAGAAACAGCTACCTGATGAAGATAGTGGGAGATGAACATATGATATGTAGTCAACATACCCAACTGAAGAGACACCAGGGAAAAGGTACAGTGCCAGGTCTGATGCAACAACATCTGAAACAAATTTTGGGAAGAAGGAGACATGGAGGAATATGCCAATTGATTCAACTGCCAAACCCAATTGGTAAGGGTAGAAGGAGAAAGGTCACAAACAGAGGAATGTTGCCAAGGCATGAAAAGGCAGGAATGGTAACCACAGAAGACATGCTAGCACCCACTCTCAACTGAGAAACGAAATACTCAACATGAACCCTGATGTCAGGAGGAGGAGGAACAACAAAATATTCTGAGCAAGGGGTATGCTGTAATAAGGAAGGAATAGGGTCATAAGAAATCAGGGAAATGGATAAAATAAAATACAACTGAGATATCATATCTAAAAAGCCCGAGTTAGGCCTAGCAGATTCCACAGGAGAGGCTTGGGAAGGCACGGCATAGTCAGGTGGAGAAAAAAGGCTGTCCAAATCCTCCTCATCATGAACAGGTTCAGCAGATTCACGAGGAAGTTGAGCAATATCGGGAAAAGAAGGTTGACTTATATAATGATCAATCTCCCACGGAATTAAAACTGAAAATTCCTCAGTCAAGCTCCCCTCAACCTGAAGCCTATGTAAGTGTGCTGAAAGTAGGTGGAAGAAAATCTGAAGTGGTGATACAAACTTCGGAATTCATTATAAAAATGAAGAATAGAAAAAAAAAAATGTATCAAGACTACAGAAAACAAAATGTATGAAAATAATGATGTGAAATCACTACTTCACAGAAATTAAAAAAAAAAAAAAACGTGAAGAGAGCACAATCGAAAAACGTCTGCACTAGATCACTGCCTAACGAGAAGCGATTGTTTGGTAGAACCGAATAGAAGGAGTCACATCAGGAGGGTGTATCAGACTCCTATTGGTGGATGGTTGTCGCATGATGATTTACATGCGAGATACAGTTGAACCACGTGGGATATGTGAGAGTTCAAGGTTTGTGGCATGCAAAAAAAATTGTTTGCATATCGAAGGCAGCACTGAACAAGAATGTGAGTGGAGGTAATATACAATATCAGAAATTATAGACTTCTCAGCTTAGCTCAATTAAACTTCATTAAAACTTGTGGTTTATTGCTTTTCAAGTGTCATTCACTACTTCAGTAGGTGCAGCTACAAAGGACTAATAAATCTATAAGACTAGTAGTTGAAACTGTAATTTGGAACTTTATTTAAGATCAATACTGTAGACAATGAAGAAGAAAAAATGGTATTATTCACCATATTTCACATTTTTCAACTTTTCATTTTACTGTACATTTGTGCTTTTGCTATAGATAGTGGTATGGTTGATAAAATAACAGATATAATATTAAGTTTTACTGAAAAAAAATTGATATTTATCTAGGAGGTTCTAATGAAATACAAAGACTGTAAAATGAAAAAAGTATTTTTGTTCTTAGTATGAAAATCACCTTTCACTCAGACTGACTCAGTAAAGGTTACAGACATTTATACAATTCTGTTGCAGAAATACTTTATTAAAATATCTGATTTTTTTGTGCAAGAAGACTTAATGTGTAATAAAAGCTTACCACCTTTGGTGGAGATACACACTGTAAATTCAATTATAATATGTATAGCTTCTTAGAAACAGGCTTGATCTAATAAGCTGACAGTTCTTAAAACTTATATCCATAGTTTCAGGTGACATTTAAGATTTCAACAATTTTAGAAACAAGAAAGTTACAACATAAACATGCAAGTAGTTGAATTTTATAGTTTTTCATATCAACTTCCAAAATTCATGGTTTTTAAATTGTCTTAGCTAAAAAATTTGTTCTCAATCAACACATTTCTGGCTTTGTTTCACTTTCATCTATAGAAAAAATTTTTCGGTGCAGGTGGGAAATTTATTGATTTACAAGACCTATATAAAAATTCCAAAAGCAGACTAAAGATCAACAATTAGGGCTAAAGTTTCAATTTTTTATTATTATTGTTTCATCCAAAACAAATATTAATAACATTTCAGTTATAATTTTATTTTGGAAAACACTTGAGGGAAAATATCACAAATAATTTTACAAAATTTGATGTTGCACATTTTCTCCTACTGTGATCCAGAATATCCAGGCTAGAAAGGGTTAATTTAAATTTGAATGTAACTGTAAAACAGATTGTGACATGCAAACTTTGATCTTCCCATATACATAGGGTTGAAGTGTTAAAGTGCCGAAATAACTGAAGCAAAAAAACTCAATTAAAATACCTAAAATGTAGTAATACAACTTCTGTTCAATGATAATGGGTCCCCAACTCAGTCCAGTAGCGATTAAACCAGGCTGCCAATCCAGCCTCAAATGTACTGGTTAGGATAACACCAGAAGAAAGCACAATTGAGTATGTATGTGATTCAGCAATAAGTGAGCAATATAAAAAAAACACATTTAAAGAGATTGAGTATATTACATTAAAAGGATTTTGGAGCTTTACCATGTGCACCTTAACAAAAAACCTTGCAGCATAGCTTCCATTGCAAAAAGCTTGGTCATAATGATGTATTGTCCAAAGCACACCGCTCCTCCCATCTTTGTTTTTATAATCCATCTAGTATACAAGGATGATAGTTTCCCAGCAACTTTTTCAAGTTCTATTACACAAAAATCCATAGGTACTGCACCTGGTGACTTGACTGGTATGTAGTCATATGGAATAGCACGAGTATCCATTTAATTCTCCAGCTGCTTGAGGTATGTTACAGTTGAATAAATAAGTCATGGAAGCAACTCGTATACAAGACTTTTATTGCTTTCCCAAATTAAGATCCTTCTTGATTATGTTCATACTGTTGCCTGGCTTCTCAGCTGTTACAATATGCAATGCTTTGCTTACTATGTGCGAGGCATGCGACTTATTGCAGTTCTCTTTCTGGATGATCCTGGAGCATCAAGTTGATGCATATTTCTTTGTTTTCCAATTTCATTAAGTACAAGAGATATCTCCATCTTGGAAATACTAAATCCTCAACCTGAACCCATTTTAACATCTTAGTGTTTGGTTATTTTGCATCAGTCATTACATACCTTTCAAAAAGTGACCAATTTTTGGTAGCACCATACTACCTACAAAATTTCAAACAATGTAAAATTGTAATCATGATAAGTTCCATTCCACCATGACTTTATATCAGCTGTGATTGTCATGTGATTTGATTATTAGCAAATTCAAAATTGTTTTTATTTAACCTACTGTATATCACAGTAATAACAACATAATTGTAAAACAACAAAAAACAAATAAATTATTCAAGAAATAAACACTTAAATCAGTTGTCATTGAACGACCAATTTAATTACTTAGTTTTCATTTGGACTTTGTGAAACAGATCATTCACAATAATAAATCAATTTATCCAAGATTAAGTTTTTCTTTTTTTCTATATCTCTCATTTTTTTAATACACTGAATTTGTTCTAATCATCAAATTACTTTGTAATTCTTTAAAAATAGGTAACAAAATTATTCCCAGTCCAAGTGATACTAACAGATTGCATAGAAAGGTCAAAGGTCAGCTAAATTAATATAATTGAAGTCAAAATTAATGACCTTTCAAAATAAAATTAACTTCCAAAGACGAAGATGAAAGGCAGACAGAGATTCATATTACCATATTCCGGCTTTTCTGTAGTTCATCTATAGTCTTTCTCTTCGGTATTATCAAACAGGCTCTACCTCGCTGGAGACAACTCATGAGCTTGTTGACCATCTACAAATTATCAGAACTGTATAATCAACTTCAAACTTTATGCACCATTAAATATTTTCTTTTATTAAAACAGCTCAGTTGTCATTTTTCTTTTTATACAGAGGTAAAAATATACTTTCTTATACAGAATATGTTCCAATTTAGTGCCACATATTGTAAAAATACTGAATATATAGATATATAAATGTAACTTAGAAGTTTAAAAATAGTCAGATTTCTGAAACTTTCCTACAAGTGTAAATGCCAATTTTAGCGACTTGGCTGCTAGAAAGTGGATTTTACTCTACAAAAACCAGTAAACAATGATACTCATTCATGACAATTTTAAGCAGAGAACATTAAACAATTTTAATACTAAAGTACTGGCTATAAATTTAATTACAAACCTTCAGAATTTACAATATTCTCTGAAAGTATGCATAAAGACAATTTACTTTCAGTATGATTAATTTCATGAAAACAATGATGGTTATAGTGTAAAATCCTTAAAATGTGACATCAAATTAAATTTCACATTCAATACTTCCTATCGCCATTACTTGAACCTCAAATTATATACTTTTTCCATTCTATTCACTACTGGTGATATTCACATAGTGCAAAATATTGGGTACTTGTATGTACTTTCCTGTCACAACATTTAGTGTAATGGACAGACCAAAATAATTGGGTGAAATCACTAATTTTCTTTGTAAGGTACATGAAGGATTTTAGCACTCACTAGTAGAATTAATTGCAATATTTGTGGTATTTTTGTTAAAATATATTTGGTGCATAAATAAATAGTTTATATAAATATGTTTCAGAGTATGGTGGGTCAGTAATTACAAGGTTAACTGCAATGTATCACAGCTATAACAGCTTGCACATCTTTGAGTTCGGCAAAAAAACTGTACCTTGTCACACCAACTTGTATAACATCTAGTTAGGCTTAACTAACAATAACCATACCAATTTGCCAATTTTTAGTTAGGCCTAGCAAACAATATTCCAGCTTTGAATTATTTAGTGGTAAGTTTAATTTGGTGGATAAGATGGCCTAGATGGACCAAAAGGTCCCTTGTTGTCTTTTAATGTTATATACTAATTTATGTAACTATCAGTTAGGCCTAGTGAACTGCAGTTGAACCAACCTCTGTTACTTCCTCTGCTGATCTAAAGTTGTATTTATTTTGTTGATTTGTAGAAGCATGAGAAGGTAATAGATGTAAGGCTAACATCAAGTGGTTTCCAGCATCTTGGATCTGTGAAAAAAACAACACATTTAGATGCATTTCTCCTCCTATAAAACCTTTATTCACTGATGCTGTCTCCTTATGCCTAAGAAGTTGAAACTGTATTAACAAATCATAAAATTCAAACTTTAAATTCTAACAAAGGAATTAAGTAATTAAAGGTCAAAAGTTCTATCAAATACCCATTACATAATATCTTCTTGTAATAGTGAAATTTTAATTTCATTGGTATACACTATTCTACCAGGTTGTAAAGTTACAACTCTCTCTTTGACTAAGACAGTGTAAACCAGTTACACTCATATATAAATTATATCTCACAGAAGCTCTCACAACTAAATAAATACAAAAAACATAATACATATATTATACAAACATGAGCATATACAACAGTAAGTTTTGACAAAAATAATGTACAACATAGTAAGAAAAATGTATAAGAATATTTCTAATACCTTTACTTTAAGTAAAATGGACTTGAAAAATTAAATTTTAGTTTATTCAGTCATGGTTGTCTTCCATGACAGATTATTTCAATGTTCATATTATGCTTTTTTTTAAAGATAAAATTCTTCCAAAACCAAAAAATAGCATCATTACTTTTAAGGCCTTTATTTATAGATCCCAATTTTTCAAAATATAATATAGTGATGTGAAAATTAAAATGGCTTATCAAGTGAAATTTAATCAAAGATATTTTCAAACTAGTTATTTTATCTGAAGTTTTAAGTTCATGACTTGAAAATCCAATTAACAGCCACATGTCCACATCATGCTTACTACCTCAATTATAACAGTGTGTGATTTACTTGCTGGGATTCAATGACGAGGAACCCACTTGAGACTAATAATGATTGGAGATGGCTTGAATGGGTAATGAAGAAAAATTTTAATATAAGTTTAACATAACAGCAAATGTACAACATTTCGACAAGGTTTTGTCATCATGGATGAATTTATACTGGAAATTAAGAAACGAACAGATACGTAACAAATTGTTGTCAGATAGTGGGACGGAAAAGAAAGAAGATGCAAACGAGATGTGGCAAATCAAACTACAGCTTAGCAGATTTGATGGCAGCAATACAAGAACAGCAAAAGAAACAAGAAGAAAGATCACAGCAGAGGTTGGAGGAAAAAGAAAAGAAACAAGAAGAGAGACTACAACAGTGGCAAGAAAACCAGGACCAGTGGCAACTGGAACAAGAAAGGAAACATGAAGAACAAGAAGAAGAAACAGTAAGAATGTCTCCAACAGTTGAAAGAAAGTCAGCATACACAAATGGAAAAGATTAGTAAATTTCAAAGTCAATTAAATACATTAAAGGATGATTTACTGTCTTTTACACAGGGAGGATATATTAACCATGGACCTAATCAGCCCCAGACATCAGGAAGCTCCTTCCAGACCCTGCAGCTAAACCCTAATGCAGACATCTTCAGTCCTGCCAGAAGCCACATTCCAGACAAGAGTGTCAGCAATAGGGGAGATCTAGTACAAAGGAAGTCACAGGAATTCAATGGGAAGGCACCATATAGAGCACAATTTGAGCTCCTGGCAGAAATGAATGGATGGACAGAGGAGCAGAAAGAAGTGCACCTGGCAACGAGCTTGAAGGGACAACCACTGGAAATACTTGGACAGTTGTCAGCAGATGAAAGGCACAACTATAGAGCACTGGTAGCTGCTCTAGAACTCAGGTATGGAACTCAACATCAGTCCGAAGTCTACAGGGCTAGGTTTAGGACGAGAGTCAGTGCTAAAGGGGAGAGCCTGCAAGAGCTGGCACAGGATTTCGAAAGTATGGCACACAAGGCCTACCCAACTGCACCACCTGATCTCCTCAAGTTGTTGCTTAGGGATCAGTTTATAGATGCCTTGAACAGTCTACAACGGATGATTCAAGTGAAGCAAGCACACCCCTCAACTATGCAGGATGCAATGGCCAGAGCTCTTGAATTCGAAT